CTCCCCGTCTGTCCTCCCTCCAGCCTGCAGAGCCTGAAGTCCCCGCCCGGACCTTTGAGATGCTCTAAGACACTGATCAGTCCCCAGAACGGTGTGGGGGACCTTGGAAGGCCGCCATGGTGGGCAGTGGGCAGCTGCTTGTGGAGCCCAATGGGCCAGGCCGGGGTCCGGGTCCTACCTCACTTGACAGGAGAGAAAACGGAGACCTGGAGAGGAGGGATGGGCCATTAGTCTGGGCGTGTGGCCCAGTGGTTAAAGAGGGCGTGTGTGGGTTCTCGGCCTGGCACTACAAAAGACAGAGAGAGAGAGGAAGAAGAGAGAAGAAAGAGAAAGGAAGGGAGGGAGGGAGGGAGGAAGGGAGGAAGGAAGGAAGGAAGGAAGGAAGGAAGGAAGGAAGGAAGGAAGGAAGGAAGAAGAGAGAGGGAGGCAGGGAGGGAGGGAGGCAGGGAGGGAAAGAAGGAAGAATGGGAAGGAAGGAAGGAAGGAGGGAAGAAAAGAAGGAAGGGAGGGAGGGAGGGAGGGAGGGAGGAAGGCAGACTGTCTGCCGTTAAGTCACACCCCATCAATTAGTAGCTAACACACACCGGAGGGTTGATGAAGTGAGAGGCTCTGGGGCTTGGGACCCAGCTCAGTCTTTGGCTACGCTTGTGCCCGTCACGTGGCTATAGGAAGGGGCACCTAACGGATAGACCCCACGGAGTTGCCGTGAGGATGCAAAGGAGATGAACATCCGTGAGGCAGAAGGAAGTGGCCCAAGCAGCTGGAGCACACGCTTTGCGATCGGGAGCCCCAGGTCTAATCCCTAACACCACACGGTTCCCCAGCTCTGCTGGTGACCCCGGCTGCGAGACGGAGACAGGGACAGAGAGGAATATACCGGAAAGAAGAGCACTGAGTACGTGCCCAGCACACAGTGGGCATGATCTGAAGGACTCCATGGAAAGACTCTCAGATTTCTGGAAGGCTGCCTCCCTCTCTGCTTGCCCTGTTTTCCAGGCTTGAATTCTCGCTGTCCTCCACCAGACACCTGGCTGGAACGGGCCCCACCTTCTCCCCGATGACCCTGGTCCCCGCCCCCCCACACCCAGCCCTGTCTCCTGGGCAACCCGCCCTGATGTCACTGGTGACTCGGTGGCTGGCCCCAGCGCTGAAACAGCTGGGCAGGATCACATTTCCAGGTAAATCCCCACCCCTTCCTCTGGGGCAGGCAGGGTGGGGGTGGCAGAGGCAGCCAGGAAAAACTAGAGCAGGGCACAGACCCAGGAGCCGCCGGCAGCAGCCAGCGCGCACCACCGCCCCGTGGTCTCTGGGTGGCCTGAAACCGGGCCAGCCCCTGCCCTAGATAAGGCAGCGGGTGGCCTACTTGGGCCAGCCCGGAAGCTCCCTTTAGTCGGGGCTCTGGGGTGGGGCGGGCGGGTTTCTGGAAATAGGCTGCCGCCCAGCTCTAATCAGCTCATCCTCCTGGGCTCACACGCCAGGGACTTCAAAGGCGTTCATGCGTAGGTGACTTCAAGGCTGCTGGCCTTAATTGAGCACTTACTGTGCTCTGAGCCCTGTTTGCAGGGTAACCCACTTTACTGCCACAACAACCCTGTCGGGTAGTGGTGATGGCCTACCACTCCACTGGAAAGAAACGCAGGCAGTCAGGAAAAGACACAGCCCAACACCAACAGCCGGTAAGGCTGGAATCCCCGACACCCTCCCCACCCCGTTCTGTGGACCACGAGCTCTAACCATTGAACTACCTTTCTGATCCGCCGAAGTTCTGATTGATGGAGGCTTCAGGGTCCCATAAACACAGTCTGTAGGCGGCAGGAGGAATTCTGCGTGCTGTTTTATGTTTCTGTAGCATCCTGAGGTCTGGTCACAGGAAGCACACTCCAACTCGTGTGATGGATGCAGAGACAATTATTCCCACCTGGGACTCAGTTACACTGGCTGAAAAATGGGAGACCCAGTGGAAGTTTTGACACTGCTTAGAACGTAAAAGGCAAAGTACGTTACAGTTTGGGAAAAAAATGTTGGGGCTGGAACAATAGCACAGCGGGTAGGGCGTTTGCCTTGCACGCGGCCAACCCAGGTTCGATCCCCAGCATCCCATTTGGTCCCCTGAGCACCGCCAGGGGTAATTCCTGAGTGCAGAGCCAGGTGTGACCCAAAAAGCCAAAAAAAAAAAAAAGTTTGTTTGGGAGCCACACCTGGTGATGCTCAGGACTTCTGGCTCTGCTCGGGGAGCACAGCCCTGGTGCTGCTCATTGCTCAGGAGACCATAATCAGTGCTCAGTCGGCTGCTTGCAAGACAAGGACCTTACCCCTTGCACTACCTCTCCTGCCCTGCTAGATTAAAATTTTGGACCCCGGGTGAGACTCTGCTTGGGTTTGTCCACCTGTTGGGAACAATGGTGCTTGCCTCCAGATACCATATTTCACCAAATAATCTTTGCCACCTCATAATTGTTATACCGTTATTAAATAATGCCAGCATATATTTTTAAAAGTTGCCAAGGTTGGAGATAGCACCACAGGTAAGGTGCTTACCACGCATACGGTAGACCTGGGTTCAATCTCGTCACGACTTATGGCCCCCCAAACCCCGCCAGCAGTGCTCCCTGAGTTTAGATCCAGAGATAAACCCTGAGCACTGCTAGGCATGGCCCCAGAGCCCTCCCCCCAAAAGAGGTCACTTGATGATCGCACCCCATTTTGGGGGCCTAAAAAGTTGGTATTAATCTGCCCCGGTTACGCAGTGAAATGAGATAGGTGTTGTGAATTCCAAGCAGCGGAACTTGCTAATAACTCAGCCCGTGACTGGGTGTAGTTTAGCGTTCCACAGATCTCAACCGTGATTCACAAAAGTCATCTCTGCCCAAAATAGAACCTGGGGCAAACTCTCAGGACAGAGTCACGTCACAGCTCTTAGCCTCGATGTCTGTGAGTTGGGGATAGGGTACTAGTATTGGCCTACCTCATCAAGTTTTTCTCCATCGTAAAACTCGGGGTGGTCCCTAGCAACACAGGGTTGTTGCGAGGGAAAGTAGCGGACTGTGAGTGCTTATGTGGGTGTAAGCGTTAGGTGGTTTTCCTTGTTTCATTTTGCTGTGCTGGGGACTGGATCTCTCCAGGTCCTCATAAGCATGTGTTTTTAACACTCAAGCCATCTCCCTGGTTTAATTTCTTGAAGTTACTTTTTCCCCCTTTCTGGATATATATATTTTTTAGTTTAATTAATATTGGGGGCGTGGGGAGGGTCATGGTGATGATTAAAACTCAAGCCCACCAAGCCACTCAGTTCTGTCCCCGGAGAGATCTGGTAGTTTGTGGGGGGGGATGCTGGTTATTTTTTAAAGGTTTTGGTTTTGGACCACACCTGGCTATGCTCAGGGGTTGCTCCTGGCCCTGCACTCAGGAATTACTCCTGGCAGTGCTCAGGACCTTCGGGGATGCTGGACATCAAACCCAGATAGGCTGCGTGTAGGGCAAACCCCTTGCCCGCTGTACTATCTCTCTAGCTTGGGTCACTGTGTTTTTTAAAAGACACTGAGCAGGGTGGACTGGAGAGAGAGCACAGCGGGTAGGGCGTTTGCCTTGCAGGTAGGTGGCCGACCTGGGTTCGATTCTTCCGCCCCTCTGGGAGAGCCCGGCAAGCTAAGGATGGCAAAGCCTGGCAAGCTCCCCGTGACGTATTCGGTATGCCAAACACAGGAACAACAAGCCTCACAATGTGTTGTGAGACGTTCCTGGTGCCCGCTGGAGCAAAAGGAGGCACCGCCGGAGGAGGACAGCGCCACCGGGCAGTGCCCCGTGACTGCGCGCTGGCCGGCTTTCGGCAGGCTCCGTGTTTTCCCCAGGTCCGGCCCAACGATGCCCACCGCGCACAGGGGCAGCGCCACTCGCCCCAAACCCCGGCCGAGAAAGGGTGCGGGGTTCCACCCGACGGGACTACAAGTCCCGCGCCGCCCCGCGGGCCCAGCCGGGGCCCCTGCGCCCGGCGCGCGCGCGCTGCCTGCCGGGAGTTGTAGTCCCGCGGGGCGCGGGGCCGCCGCCCGGGTCGGTCCGGGGCGGGGTGCGAGGGCCGCCCTGCCGGCCTTTGAATTTTGCCGCGAAAAGCGCGCGTGGCGGGCCCGGGCCCCGCCCCCCGCGGGACGCGGCGCCGCGTCACCCCGGTAACCGCCTCTTGGCCGCCGCCGATTGGCCGGCGGGCGGGGGTGGGCGGGGCCGGGGCGCGGCGGCGCTGCGGGCGCTCGAGCCTGTCAGTCGGGCGGGAGCGGCGCGGCGGGCGGGCGGGCGGGCGGGCGGCCGGGCCGGGCCGGCGGCTCCGCGGAGAGGCTGCGCGCGCCTGCGGGAGGCCAGGAGCCGGGCCCGCCGCTCGCGGGGCGCGGGGCGCGGCCCCCGGCCTGCCCGGAGCGCGGCGAGGCGCCGGCGGAGGCCCCGGGCGTCCCCGCGCGCCGCCCCTGCTGCAGCCCCGCTGCACCCCGCGGCCGCCCCGCGCCACCTGCACGGGCCGGCGCGGGGCGCCCAGGCGGCCCCGGGGCTTCCCCTCCCCCAACCCGGGGCTCGGAGCGGGAGCGGGAGCCGGAGCCCGAGCCGGAGCCGGAGCCGGAGCAGGAGGGGCCGGTGCATCCTCCCGCCGCGCTCTGCAGCCCGCGGGCCCCGTGCATGCCCCGCGAGGAGCCGGCGCCGCTGCAGGTGCGTGCGACCTCGCCGGAGGCGACCCCACCCCCCACCCCGGCCCCGGGGCGCACCGGGGGGCTGCGCACGGCGGGCGCGCGGTCGAGCGGGAGGAGCACAAAGACCCGCCGCAGCCGGGCCCGGCGAGAGGGGCCGGGGCCGCGCGGGCCGAGAGGGCGCCCCGGGGGGGCGCGGGCCCGGCCGCAGCCCCCCGAGCGGCACCCCGAGCGCGCCGAGGACCGGGCCCGCCGAGGACGATGCGCCGGCCGAGCGCCGCCCCGGCCCGCTGAGCCGGGAGACCCCCGCCCGCGCCCCGGCTTCGCATCGCCCCCCGCCGCCTGGCCGCCGCCCCGGGAGCGGGCGCCCCTCGGAGGCGCGGCTGATCCGGTGAGTCCCGGGGGCGCGGGAGGGGCGCGCGGGGCGGGGCGGGGCGGGGGGCTGCGCGCGGCGGGGGCCGCTCGTCTGCGCGCGGCTCGTCCGGGCGGGGGGCGTGGGGGGGCGCGCCCCCCAAGGTCGGGGCTGCGCCCGCCGCAGGTCCCGATCCCCGAGGGACAGCTCGGGTGGGACAGGCGGGGCGCCTCCCGGGAGCTCCCACGGCCTGCAGAGGACCCCAGCCCCGGGGCGCGGCGGGCGGGAGGGAGGGGTGCGGCCCGGGCCCTGCGCGGCTGCCGGGGAAGGGTCGTGTCGGCGGGGGCTGGACCGTGGCGGGGTCCCCCTCGGAAACCCTCCCGCGTGCGAGCCGAACAACTCCCGGGAAAGTCGGCGTCCCCCGGCGGGGGCGTGGAGTGACGTCACTGCCGGCCCTCTGACGTCAGGGGAGTTACCTTGGCATCTCCACTTGCCCTGACCCCGGGCCGGAGTGGGCGGGCCGGGGTACCCAGCCAGGGGCGGGTCAGGAGGCCCTGAGGGCAGTCTGACTCCCCATCCCCAGCTGCAGGAGGCTGACCTAAATCCCCCCTCCCGGCGCCCCCCACCCCCGGGCCTCCCCCTCCCCCCGCAAATCCCCCCTGCGCTGGGGGGAGGGAACCGGCGACAGCTGTTCCTGCAGAGGCTCCGCCCCCCACCCCAAGAACAGGTGTCGAGCCTCGCCTCCTGGCCTGGTCGTGCCTGGGGCTCAGGGAATCCCGGACCAGCAACTTTCTTTCAAAAGGCCCGGCAGGGACCCCCTCCCCTCCCCCCGGACTGCGGGCAGGATGCTTGCCTGGCACGTGGCGGTCCAGGGTTCGACCCCTGGCATCCCATACGGTTCCCGGAGCCCCACCGGAGTATTTCCTGAATCCTGCCGGATTACCTCTGTCGGCTCTGCCCCCACCCCCAAAATCAAAAGGCCCCTGACACTGGGGAGTGTCACCAGTGCACCCCCACTTCCAGACAGCACCCAAGTTGCCAGGGACCCTGGAGAGATGTGGGCCCCCTGTTCTTAAAACAGTCCCTCTGTTGCCTGTCGCCTGGTGTCTCCCTGCCCCAGTTAGGGAAGAGCTGAGTGTCCCACCTGCGCGTGAATGCCCTCAAGAGGGTCTGCTTGACCCACCCGCCACCCTCCCATCTCCTTTGGGGGCTCAGGCGGGTGGTGGCACCTGTTGATGACAGCAGAGCAGGGCAGGCCCGCCCTGCCAAGGTCTGCCTGCGGGGCACCTGTGCCAGGCACCCTGGTGACAGGCCGGGGCCCTCCGCCGTCCCACCCCCCAGCCCTGGCCCTGTCCTGCGAGGGCCGGCCACCTCTTGGAGGCCTCCTCTGCGCCCCTTCCCCGGAAGGCGCTTCCGTCTGGAGGGTGTGGGCGCCAGGAAGTCCTGAGATCGCATTTCTAGGAAAAGGTCATGGCTTCTTCCCGGGGCGCGGGGCCGGCCTTGGCGTGGGCCGGCCACTGGAGAGGCCCAGCTCTCTCTGGTCTGGGGGTGCAGTGACCCCCCCCCCCACTGTCCTCCCCTAGGTCGGTAAGTGTCGGCGGGGGCGGGGCAGGGAGCTGGAATCTCCGTGTCACCGCTCGCCAGGGCTTCCCAAGACAGGAGCAACAGCAGATGGGGGGAGGTGGGCGCGGTGGGCAGCAGGCCCGTTTGCGCTGCCTCTCCAGGCTTCCCAGTTTAGAAACAAACTCCGAGCGCGCGCCAGAGATCCACAAACACAGGCAGTTGGAGTTGGAGGCCGCGCCGCGCAGTATTTACACTTCCGCAGCCAAGGCGGCGGCAAGGCTGGCAGAACCGGGCGGTTCCTTCTGTTCCCTTCCCCGGGCTTGGCAGGAGCGCCCGGCGGCGGCGGCGGGCAGGAGGGGGCGTCCGCTTCCCCAGCCGCTCCCCGGGTGCCCGGCACTTCGTAGGCGCTCCGGGGCTCCTGCAAGGGGCTCTCGCAGCCCATTTTGCAGACGGGGAAACTGAGGCTCAGGCAGAGGCGTGACTTTGGTCCCGGGACGGCTTTGGCTGCAGAGCCTCCCTAGGTCCTCCCAGCCTACCCCGTGAGTGGAGGTTGGGGGCTCCCGCACTGCCGGGCAGGTTTCCTGCCCAGAGCTGGGGGCCCCGGGGCTGGGGCTGAGGGGTCGCGTGCTCGCCTTGCGTGTGTGGGGTCTGGCTCCCACCCCTGGCCCTGCAGGAAAGAGCCAGGGCACTGGACTCTCCGCAGGCGACAGAGGGCATCGGGCCTCACCCGCATGCTTTGCGGTGCTGGAACCGGATTCGAATCCACTTCCCATGACGGCCCTACAGGGCTTTTGCCCCAGGCCCAGCCGGGACCCTCTTTCTGCAGCAGGGTAGGGGGACGAAGGTAGGCCAGGCCGCCCAGCTGCCAGGAAGGCGGGAAGCTAAGACTGGCCGGGGGGGGGGGGGGGCGCAGGAAGGAGCCCTCGGACTGTCTGAGCCTCAGGACAGGGAGACGACAGTGTTGGGGGGTGTGAGGGGAGGGCTGGGGTCTCCTGGACCAGGGCAGGCCTGGCGGTTGGGGGGCCCAGACTTGGGCAAGGAGAGGGCCTGTTAGAGCACACGCACGCGCACGCACGCACACACACACACACACACACACACACACACACACACACGCCCCGCTCCCTTCTGGTGGAGGGTGGGGCGTCCCTCTCCACAACGGGCAGTATTTGGGCCCCTACTGTGTGCCTCAAACACCGTGCAGTGCCCCTCTCTTAAGGGTGGCTCCTTGCCCGCCAGGAATCCCCGTCACTTTGTCTTCTTGCCCCACGTAAGCCCACCCGGCCCTTCTGAGCTTCCCAGTGGCGTGGTGCGGTGGAGCGAGGCCACCCGGGGCTCGGAATTCCCGGAGGGTGGCTGCCTAGCTGGGGGTGGGGGTAGGGTTGCCAGGTAAGCGGGCTGTGTGGCCCTGAGCGAGTGGCTTGGCCTCTCTGAGCTGGTTTCTGCATGCCGGGGAAGGAGCCCTCCGCCGACCAGGGGCAGATTCATCAGGGCGGAGAGCACAGGCCCTGCATCCAGTAGGCGCTTCATAGATGCACGTGCTCTCGGCCACTGTTGGCCTTAGCCGTGGTGCCAGCCCACCCCCACTCCCCAGCAGCCAGCCCATCCCTGCCCTTGGACTCAGAGAGAAAGGTCCCGGGGCTGCCACCCCCACCCCCACTCCGGGGGGCTGCCTCCGCGGGGACTCCCACCGGCCTGCCGGGCCAGGGCCCCCCGCTAGGTGGACACACGTGGCGGCCCTCAGAGAAAGGGCGGCCGTGGCCTGGCCCGGTGTCCCCCAGCCCGGCCCAGCCCGCCGCCTAACGGTCCGGTATTCACGGGCGTAATTCAATCAGGCGGCCTGGGCTTGGGCCGGGCACGCACAAAAGGGCCGCCCGATCACCTCCCCGGCGAGCGCCGCTCCCAGCCGGCCGCCTTTATTGTGTTAACCCATTTGCGTGTCAGGAGCTATTGTGCACGCACCGTGCGGGCGGTGCGGGAGGAGGGGGCCCCGCCGGTCACCTCCGCGGGCGCCGCCCGCCGCCCTGATTGGTTGCTAAGTGATTTGCATCCAAGGTAATCACTTTTATCTCCGAAGGATGTCGACTATAATTATAAGCTACTGACATCTTTTGAAATCTGCCTAATGACTATTTTAGTCTGCACGGGCTGGAGGTGGGGAAGGGGGGGGTTGGGTGGGGGGGATTCGAGAGGCTGGTGGGGGGGTGGGGGGGCGGGGGTGTGTGTGGGGGGTGGGGTAGGGGAAGCGTCTGGAAGGGGGAGGGATCTCTTCCACCTGGACCATTGATTCGTTCTTGGAGAATTGTCTGGAACAAAAGAGGGGCGACCACCGCACCCGGGGGCACCCGGGGCGCTTGTGCTGAGGGGGCGGAGGGAGGGCCATTTCAGAGATGGGGAAGTCGAGGCCCTGGGGGATGCGCCGCCTGCTGAGAGTCTCTGGCCCCAAGTGGTGGCAGCCTGCTTCCCCCTCCCCCCCATCTCCCGGGACGCCCCCTTCCTCCCACCCCACGTGGGCTGCAGATAGAAATAAGAATCTTCTCTGGGTGGGATGGCGTGTAACAATGTATCCCAGAAGCAGCTGTGGGATCGGATCGAGGGCGGGGAAGGAGCTCAGACAGGTGAGGCACCTTCCGCCTCACACAGCCGGGAAGCAGGAGATGAGGGCTTCAGCGACCAAAAGTGGGCACGGTGGGGTGGGGGTGGGGGGCCGGAGTGCTAGGATAGTAGGTGGGGCGTTTGCCAACCCGGGTTCGATCCCCGGCATCCCATAGGGTCCCCCGAGCACCACTAGGAGGAATTCCTGAGTGCAGAGCCAGGAGGAACCCCTGAGCATCACCGGGTGTGACCCCAAAAGAAAAAAAGTAAAGGAAGGAAGGAAAGAAGGAAGGAGGGAGGGAGGGAAGGAAGGAAGAGGGGCTGGAGCGATAGCCCAGCGGGGAGGGCATTTGCCTTGCACACAACCGACCCGGGTTCGATCCCCGGCATCCCCTAGGGTCCCCCCGAGCACCGCCAGGAGTGATTGCTGAGTGCAGAGCCAGGAGGAACCCCTGAGCATCGCCGGGTGTGACCCAAAAAGAAAGAAAAAAAAGAGTGGGCATGGGGTGGGCAGCGTGACCAGCGGGGAAAGGCAGCTCGGCTCCAGTTCTCCTCCTCCTCCTCCTCCTCCTCCTCCTCCTCCTCCTCCTCCTCCTCCTCCTCCTTCTTCCTCCCTCGCCCCCTCACCTTCCTCCACGGGGACCCCGTGGTCACTGTCTGAGGATTCGATGCCCGCAGCCCCTTGGGAGGGTAGGATGAGTTGACACTGGCTTGAATTTGCGCCAAGCTGGGCAGGGGCAGGAGAGGGGCCTTCCGGAGGGGAAACTGCGGCTGGGGCCAGAGAGATGGCTCAGTGGGTAATGCCCTGTGTCACGCCCTCCACATGTGCTGCCCCAAGCCCTACCAGGAGTGATCCCTGAGCTCCCCAGACCTTCCGCCAG